TATAAATTTTCATCAAAGTTTTATAGTTTTAGCATATATCTGTCCTATAAGATGACCCCCAAACTACCAACGGCCTATGAATTTAGTTTAGTCAGCAATCATCATCTGAATAATAATACTGTATAATGTATATGGAATAATACTGTATATGTATATGTCCTATTTGTAATTTTTCAAATGAACAAATTTTATTTTCTTGCATCTGGCAGCACTGCCCTGATTTGGCATTTGGGTAATGATCTTGACTATTCACAAAAATGTCGTATGGGCTATTCTATTTTGTGCACATACCCTACTCTCTCTACTAGTAAATAATTACGGTTTGTCTATTTTTTATAATGGTTTTAATTTATATAAATTTCAATCAATTTTTTTTTGTATCTGTCCTATAAGATGACCCTGGATTTTCGGGGCCTTTTTTTATGATTCAACTATCGTCTCATCTGCCAAGATATACGGCAAATCTTTTCTTTGTGATTAGAAAAAAATCAAATGATCCTAAAATACTAGATAAATTTATATTTAGAAATGCATGTAAAATTCAAATAACAATTATTTTGAGAATTTAATTTTAACTTTAAAAAACTGTAAAAATAGTTCTCAATTTTGGCAATAATAAGTAAATATCAAAAATCATATAATCTGTGAAAGCATTAGGTTGACAAGAGTTTATGGATGGTATTAGTAAGTTTGATACAAACTGAACTTGATTGGGATCTCTCCTTGAACTATTCTATTAATAATGCATACAATGATGCTAAATTTTTGATAGATGAATTTAATATGGCAATTTCTTAGACCTGTGATGGATCATTACTAGGTTTTCATAAACTCTCCCAGAATATCTGAAAAATATTCTTGTTACTAAACAAATCTTTTTACATTAATTTATAATGCTATATAGTTGACAGAACATATTCCAAAGAAATGAAATTTCATAATATACTCAATGTTATATATATAAAAAAGATAGGAACAATCCTCTTAAATTACTGTTCTATTGCTCTTTTGTATATGTTTAGGAAGATTTTTTGTCAATAAATAACTAAAAAAATAGACTATTAAAATGGATGAATGATGATAATTTACCAGAATAGAGAAACATTATATGCTATTTGTTAACTAATTTAATACAACATACCTTATTGTTTACAAAATCTTGTCTTTTAACCTTTCTTGTGAATTTATCAAAAGCATATGACTGTTAATGTTGAAAAATTAATTACCTTATTGAGACAAATGGGTTTACCAGCCAAGGTGTTTGGAATTATTCAGAAATTATAGGTTTAAATTACACTAGGTTTGAAGCAGTTATACAACATTGCAGAAGTAATAATTCATTTAGTTTTTCTGGAGGCTTGCTTCAGAGTCCATACTGGTTTATATTATACATTTCTGAGCTATATAAATGCTTTTCAGATATGGAATTGAATTGTATTAATATTGGTATCTTCACTGTGAGTGAAGATACCAATATTTGTTTTATGCAGGTGATTTAATATCATTATCTAAGACTAAAATAAATTTATGGAAGAAGTTTATTACATTTTCTGAGTATTATAGAAAGAAACATCTTAGACTGAATATTGATAAGTCAAAAATAATGGTTTTCTGTCAACATAATCTTCTCTGAAGGACAGACAAATGGCATGTTTGTATAGTGTATGACTGAATATTAAAAAAAAAAAAAAAAAACTAACTATTCTAATAAAATACATTTAGGAAAAACTAGTTTTATTCTAAATATACTTTGTTCTTCTTGCATTTCCTAATGAAGACATGTTGAAAATTTTTGTTTATGAAAGAAGATTGCTATTTAACACCTAAAAAACTTATTTTTTCTAAGTATTAACTTTATCATAATGTACACCAATTCGATACTACATTGTAATAATTCCTTATTCATAGTTTTTTCATAATTACATTCTATTTGAGATTTTTTAATAAATATATTTCATTAAAAAACANCAGTTGTTCCCATCCAAAAGAACTGATTAGACCTTGTGTTTGTGCAGAAACATGTGGCCTTGTATTGTCATGGAGCAACATCATACAGGAAGACAGTAGACCATGCCACTTGTTTTGTATGGCATATTGGAATTTTCTCAAGGTCACACAATATACATCAGAATTGATTGTAGGGCCTCTCGGCACAAAATCCTTTTCTTGTCCCAAAAGACAGTTGCCATAATTTTCTGTGCTGAAATGGACTGTTTGGCTTTTACTTTGGTTGCCGAAGATGTGTGTCCCATTCCATTCAGGAGTCATGTGAGACACCCAAGTCTCATCTCCTGTAATGATGTGGGGTCCAACAATTTATCTCCTTCTTGATCATATCGAGTAAAAAACGATAAAGCACTGCCCAATCTTTTTGTTTTGTGATTGTCAGAAAGCAGTCTTGGAACCCACCGATAACACAATTTTCAATAATTCAGATTCTCCAAAACAATGGTATACAAAACTGACCTTGAAACCTGTGGAAATTCAATTCGTAACATTGAAATTGTGAATCATCGGTCCTCTCAAATTTTGTTATCCACATCACAAACCAAATTTTTCTAAATGTTTATTAAAATACACATTTCTAATTATAAAAAAATATTAAAATTATTAATTGACTAATTTAAGAATTTCTAAACAGAATCTGCAAAAGAAATCAGAGGTCAGCCAGGGCATGGCTCATCATGCACATTAACCTGCCCGTCCTTGAACATTCTCACCCACTTTCTAACTTTACTGTCACTCGTAGCATTAGCACCGTAAACTTCACAAATCTGATGGCAAATTTCCGCTGCTGTCAAGTTTCTTGCACTCAAGAATCAAACAACAGATCTTATCTCACAGTCAGTGGGCAACTCAGTTTTCTTAAACATTATAAACTTTTACAGCTCAGCATAAACGGATGATAAGGCTGCAAATGGTGTCTAAATGTGTGCAAAGCATGTTCGGAGCAGACGCACCTATGCACTGCCGTGATCGCACGTCATTCTCACTCTCATTCACAAATGGACCTTATTTAAAAAATAGCCCTCATACATGATCGCATGATAAGGCAATAATTTTCTGCAGCAGTTTTTTAAGGGCCTGTGATAAACAGAAAAATTTGTTTTTAACCAAAATTTTTACACAATTAGATGGATAGCACATAGCATGGGATATCATGGAAGCATAGCTAAGTAAGTTAATTTGGTTAAAAATATCAACAAAAAACTAGTAGATGCAGAAAATTGCTGCTATTACATATAAGCATGGATTAATATTCATGATTGTTATTTAAATAGTCATCATCTCATTCAGTAAAAGTTTAGAAAATTTCTTTTTTAACCTAAAATTTAATAACTGATATATATAAAACTATCAAAGTTCAATGCCTCCTCTGCTAGTTTTTTTAATATTATTCTTTAATCAAAAATAAAAATTCCCAAATGGAAGAAACCTAAATCATAATGAGAACAATCTTTTAGATCTACATAATCTTTACAAATATTTCAAAACTAGAAACAGAATTAATAAACAAAACCACCATAAAATTCCAGGAAAGTTCGATTTAATGTAACTAATGTTTACATGTTTACAACCACATTTTAATGGTCATCTTCAGATAGAGCTTTAGAATGACTAAATAGAACCTGAATAGCTGTACTGTACATGAAGATGACCATTAAAATATGCTCAAAAATGTTAATTCTATTGAATTGAATTTTCCTGAAATCTCATCACGGTTCTGTTTATTAAAATACACATTTCTAATTATATNTAATAATTAAAATATGAAGTCTGTCTGGAAAGTTCACAAACATTTTAAATTCAGAATAATAATGGTAACCAATAATTGAATCTAAATGCAGCTTGCACGGTCCTCTAGGAGCAAGTTTTGTTTACTATCTGCCAAAAATTATTTGTTCTATCTTCATCGTGTAAATGTGTTTCCCCCCCAGGCAAAAATGAGTGAGTCAGAGGAGCAGTAAATTTGTGCTAAACCTGGAAAATCTTTTACTGAGACAGATGATGTTAAATGCAGCATTTGGGAAGTCCCCTTTCAGGAGGACTGCAATGCATAAGTGGTGAAAATTTTTTAAAGAAGACCATACTTCTGTTATAGATGATGACTATTGAAGAAGACCAACATCAAAAATTGATTCAACTGTGAAGAAAGTTAATGAAATGATTCATTCCAAGTATTGTCTGATAGTTCTTGAAGTTAACATCTCAAAAACTGTGTGTCATGAGATTCTCATATTTTAAGAATCACACTGCCTCATGATAAAATCTATGCCATGGCTGTTGTCAGAGAATCAAAAACAGACATGACTGCAAGTGAAAAGCTTCTGGGATGAGATAGATCTAATGAAAATTTTCTGAAAAACATTATCACTGAGGATGAAACATAGCTCTACAGGTAGAATGTGAAAACAAAATGTCAATCATCATCATAAAGAAAACCTTTACTATGATCCAAAAAGGCATGACAAATTCGGTGTAATGTGAAGAGCTTGCTCACTGTTCTTTTCTGTTCTTTCTCACTGTTTCAATTCTAAAGGTATCATTCACCACAAATTTCTTCCAAAGGAAAAACCATCAACAAGGAATACTATCTGCAGGTGATGAAATGTCTTTGTAAAGCAATGTGGAAGAAAGACCAATTTCTCAGAGATAACAGCATTGGATACTCCACTATGATAATGTATCCCATGTAACCCATATATCACTGCTGATAAGAGTTTTTGGCCAAGAACTCAATGCCACTTGTTCCCTAACCTGATATTCGCCAGATTTATCTCTGGCAAACATCTTTTTATTTCTCAAATTAAAATCTGCTCTCAAAGGTTGTCATTTTGAATCCATTGGTGCCATTAAAGAAACATCACTAATAGAGCTGCACAGCATCCCAAAAGAAGCACTTCTTTCACAGCAGAAATGCTGGATTCAATGCATAAACTCAGGAGGGAACTATTTTAAAGATGACAAAACCAACTAGCTTCTAAATATGTGCAAACAACTTCTATTTGCAAATTCTGAAAACTTTCTGGAAAGACCTTCTATACTCAAATTCATAATTTTAAATAATTTAAATAAAATATATAGAAAATAAATTAGTGAACCTTTTTCTCCAACAAATGGCAAGGACCAAGTAAAAACATCCATAAAGTTTGGCAACCAATATGGATGAGGTGAACAATTAAATTGACGGATATTCATCACATTATTTTCATATTTTAAGACTGCAGCTGTAAAAGATAAAAAAAAAACTTTTTAGAAAAAGAAATACAATTTGAAATGTTTAAAATAAAATTAATCATAAACCACAATTTTGAAATGTTTCATTTCAAAAGAATGTAAGGTGATATTTAAATAATTAAACATAGTATATAATTACAAAATTCACAAAAGCAAAAATTCTAAATTCATAAAAAATGTGTTAAGTACGAAAAAAAAATATTTGATGGCATAATTATATAATGAAAAGTATACACTGATTATAATTAAACAGATGATGTTCAGAGCTCCAAGTAGAAAGATTTATTGAACAAAATGCAACCAAATTTGTTGCACATAAATTTTCTGACCATGATAATTTAATTTCATAAAAAAGTTTAGTTTGAAATATGCCAATAGGGAAAAATTTAGCACTGATATTGCTGCAATTTGTATATTATGTAAGTTGTGAAACAACTTTACAATTGGACTGTTTGTATTGATTAAGCATCACAAAGGTGGTAGCCAAAGAGAAGATGCCTCCTGGAAGATATTTTTTATGGAAAACTGGTCCCTATTTAACAGTGGTAACTAAGATTTTGCTCTGGGGCCCTAGTGTGAAAAATTCTGCACTGAATATTGCAGTTTTACTCCTACAGGATATCTCATGAATTGCTTTCTGGTGATTATGCTCAGCAGAAACCATTTGCAATGTCATTCCTAGATCAGATAATAATTGACAATTCATAGCACTGGCAACTTCTGTGGATGAATGAAGCCCATTTTTGCTTGAATGGTGTGGTGAATATTCAAACCTGCACTGTTTGGTCTGGAGAAAACCTACATAATTATCAACAAATTCCCTTGCATCAACCAAAATTTAGTGTGATGCAGATTCACAGTATCTGGGCCAGTGACATGTTCTTTTAATGCCACTAGGTATAGAGATATGATGCAAAACTGTCATCCTTGCATTTGATAACAAAATTGTTTGGAGACCATAATCTTTATGCAAGATAACATCCCTCATGTCAATGCCAATGTGCAAAGCTCATTTTGTCAGCACTTCACAAATGAAAGCAATTAGCTGATCATTTACAATGGCATGGCCACCATAATCACCAGACTTGACTGATCCCTTGTAATTTTTGGTTACAGGAATAAATACTTGAAGAGCCTTGTTTATCAGAACACTGTCCTAACTCAGCTGTTAAAACTGAAAGAATATCCCTACATGTGAAATAATACATCTATGATGCAGACAAAATTTTTCATGTTTTCTAAATGCAGTCTTAGTGACTTTAGACAAAGGAAAAGGATTTTGAGAAATTTGTAATTGTAATTTAAAATTTGTGTAAAACTCTACATTGCATAAACTGCATGCCCTTTCAAAGTGCCTTACCAACACAGACAATCTGTAAATAATCTAAAATACAGTAATGATAAAAATAAGATCAACTCCTTATGAAGATTGAAATACTCCCAATATGATATGATTCTTGATTCCTTTGAACATGGCCAATTGTTAGTAATTTCAAAATCTTTGAATTAATAGAATATCAATTAAATTACACATCTATAAGAACTTTCTGGATTCATCACTGAAACAAACTTTCTACATATCAACAATGAAAAAGGTAAGTCTTATCATATCAAGACTTTCTTTTGATTGAGGCACTAGGGTCAAATGATATTAATCATTGTTGATTATCTAAGCTAAAACATCTTAAACTAAGTTTTAAAGCATTTTTTACGCAAAGACTGGCTTGAAAATGTTTATTGGAGGTTCATCAAATGTAAAACACACCCCCTACATTTCACTCACAAGTATAAATAAATGAATCTGTTGCCACTATTGTCTTTTGCAGCTGCCAAACATGTAAACAACAAGACATCTGTTTTATGAAATCAAGACAACTTTCTAATGTAACAAACTGTAAAATGATGCTAGAGTATTTTTTTTTTCATGATAAGAAAAAACTGTCACACATTTTATGCAGCAGCTTATAGTTCACATAACTAAAGTCAGAAAATCTTTAGCACAATCTGGAGATCATTGGTAAAAACTAAAATACTTAATTACTCAAATTAAAACCAGGTGCTTTTTGTAAGTTTTAGATAATTAATTAATTAATTAACTTCAGGTTACTAGTCTGTTAAGACATATACAAAAGGAAACAAAATACAGCAAAAACAATATACACAATTAAGTTATATATATTATTCAAATTCATAAAATTAACCTCATTAATTGCAGATATATCTTGATCAATCTGGTGAGTAAATATATTTTAAAATTATACTTGTAAAGTATCAACAGTTCTATTTTTGAAAGTTCCAGATTCTTTATGGCTTTGATCATCTCAATCCTTTGAAATCTTTGGAACTACATTAAATTGTTCAACTCAGAAGTCTAGATTGTAGCTTTCCTTATATAAATTTAAAATTATTTTTGTTCCTTTCTGGTCAGCCTCACTCAAATATTCTGAATTTTACTGATAAATGGTAAGGTCATGAAACTAAACAGCTTTTTCTATTAAATATAACATTTATGCTGATGTATATAATCTGCCAACATTGTGTTTATGCTTCTTAACTAAATATCCATCTTATGTTCCTTTAGTTTCTATTTCAGAAAATGCATTAAACTATTCATATAGAAATTTAACTTATTGTTTCTAAGAAACTGAAAAACTTACTTTACATATTTATTGTTGAAATCTTCTCTTATTATTTGTCTGGTTCTAGTAGGCAAATATCTCTTTGCCAGTTACTGTAATTTAATTGCTAATCAATTAGGAATTTTTATGGAAGAGCACACTATATTTCAATGAGATATTTTACATACTTGTCTTATTACTCAAAAAGTTATAATTTATGTAACTAATATTTCATTAATATTTGTTTTCATTTCTCATAATCTCATTAATATTTGAGTTCCATTACTAAAATTTGACAAACATATTTTGAATTAATGTAACATTCATATCAATTCAATTTGTATTCTGAATGTCAAATAAAATTAGATATAATTCTTTGGATTAAAAATTAACTTCTGAATTTTACACATTAGTTTGTTTGCTAACATTGATAAATAAATTTAAAGCATACAAAACTAAAGTTTATGTACTTTAATTAAAGTAGTTTTGAATTTCTATGTATGATGATTAGTTTTCTTTTATTAAATATAAAATATATTTGAAAGAAATGATAAGCTATAATTACATTAAATTCACTTAAGGAGAGAGAAAAATTATTTATGACAACTTATATATTAGTAATTAAAAAAATTATTCATTAAATTAAAAACAACTTCAAAATTTGCATGTTACAATTCTTATCAAAAGCAAAATACAGTGGAACCTCTATATTCGTCATTAATTAATCTGTTACTAAGGACCTAACAAATATGGAATATGACAAATATAGAAACAATTTTTCTCATAATAAATAATTGATATTCAATTAATCCATTCCCATCCTGAAAAAAAAAGCACAAGAATAAAAATTATGCTGTTTGTAAAACTTTATCTTTATTGTACTAAATAAATACAGTACAGTGATAGAAGGGGAAGAACAGTATTATTGTTTAGAAGACATATCAATTAAAACATTAGGTAATTCCAATTATGATCGTGAGATTTGTTTTGCTGATGATTCAGTAGCACTCGATTTAATAAAGAACTTGTCCAGTGTTGTGTGTTTTTGTCTGCTTTTTAAAACTTTTCTGAAGTAGGCAATTACATTATCATTGAATGTATTTGTATTTTGGTTGACTATAGCAACATTTGGGTGCCACTTTGGAGTGATTGGAATGTGGTTTCTTGCATTGATTATTTTTCAATAACTCAACAATACACACAACGACCGCACAAAGCAGACTGATTAAATACAGTAACTACAGCTAGCTAACATGGCTAGCTAATGGGTGCAGGTGTGCGATTGTAGTGCCACTTCCAGTGTTTGGAATGACGACAAATACAGAAAATACTGACAAGTATGGAAAAATAAAAAAAGTCATCAAAATGTGATGAATATCGAATATTACGAATATAGAGGTTTCACTGTAAATAAAATTAAACAATCTATTAGCAGATAATTAGTAATAAAAAAAATTTGAAATTTTATAATGAAAATATTCAAATTTATAGATTAATCTATAACCAATACTAACTGGCTAATATTTAAACAGATAAAAATAATTCTGATAAATGACAATGATTGACTTCATATGTTACAAACCATCATAGAAAAATTGATATACAGAAAGTCCCTAATTCCAAATTCTTCATATATCAAAAAATCTTCCTATATTGAACAACTGACAATCCCTGGTAAATGCAGTTTACAAACAAATGAAATTTATTAAGCCACATAACAAATAAATTTCAAAATCTAATAACATTTTCTTTATTTTGAATTCCTACCATTCACATACAGCAGTTTATATCAAAAATATCCACTTGAGCTAGGTTGAAGACATTACTCCAATTACTTTATTTATATCCAGAATTTTAAATTCCTCAGACAAGTTATAATCTTCCAACAATTATGGATTGTTTTGAACAGACACAGATCTACAGAGCAAGTTTCCAGATCCTGCAATTTCTTGCAAATTGAGTTAATTTTGAAGAAAATTTGTGGCAGTTTTTATGTTAATGTCCCAACTTTTTGTTTATTAAAAACATTTTATTTCCAATCTACAGATTTTTGACATTGAAGGCAAAAATTTTATACTTAGTTTTCTTTTGCAACTTTTAGATTAGCATTTGTATGAGTCTCAGTTGGTTTATGGCAATACTACTATGAGTACAACAGCCAGTGGCACAATTATAAACAGTTTATAACAGATATGCAAAGAAATTAAATAAGTGTCATATATCTCAGTTTTTTGCATGCTTTATTAAGAAAATTTATTTCTAAATGCATTATTTTACCGATCACCTTTTATTATTCTCCATATATAGAATTCTCCTTATATCAAACACTCAAAATATTGATCCCCAAATTTATTAGAAAATTTCCTGTAATT